ATCATTATAATAACATTAAGGTTTTGGCCTGATAACAGCAAAATGAACATCATGTAGTTTTAAATATGACTTGAAACCAGTGACTGACATCATAAGCTCACATTCAAGGTACTGAAGTCATACATCAAGTAATCATTAGACTCCTTCTCCCCATAGACTTCCATATAATCTGACTGCTTTCTGGAAGCAGAGAAGTCGCCCCCTGGTGGTCATTGGAAAGAACGCAGGATTTATGCGCCCTCATTGCCTTTATTTTCAAGACCAGAGTCCCTTTTTTAAAAAAAAAAAAAAAAATTTGTTTTATGCCTGAGGTCAATTAATGAAGGTCTTCTTATACATTTTCGATCAAAATCTAAACTTTATAGCTGCAAAACGTCTGACAGAGAGTGAGGCCTGAATGTGACTGTGAATATTTTTTTGAATAATTAATATTCTGCTGTCTGTCCAAGTTTTGTGATTCGTGTTTTATTTCTGGTTATTGTCAGACCTTTTGGAAAAATCCAGAGTGACTTTCCAGCTGCTTGCAGAGAGGAGCTATCACATCTTCTATCAGATCTTGTCAAACAAGAAGCCTGATTTAATCGGTGAATATACCAATCAATGAGCTCTAAATGGTTGTGACACAGTTTCCATGGCGTCTGGTCCTGCACAGAGCTGTGAGCTATTTTTCTGTGCCTCATTTCAGAGATGCTGCTGATAACCAGCAATCCTTATGATTACCCTTTTATCAGCCAGGGGGAAATCACTGTGCTGAGCATCAATGATGCAGAGGAGCTGATGGCCACAGATGTAAGTGCAAAATATGCACAGAAATGTGGAGTACAGGCTAAAGCCATGCACTTAATTACAGTATTTTTACTGATATATTTTGACATCAGATGAAAGACTTGAAATACATGATTTTTGTTGGTTTTAAATTTTATTACGTAAATTATATCTGCAAATAATTATGCATAAATACAGTTCCCATGTCTGTGTCTGTTCTTCAGAGAGCCATTGACATCCTGGGCTTTAGCACTGAGGAAAAGGTCGGCATCTACAAGCTGACGGGTGCCGTCATGCACAACGGGAACATGAAGTTCAAGCAGAAGCAGCGGGAGGAGCAGGCCGAGCCCGATGGCACCGAGGGTGAGACGTCTGAGGTGGTGCTTCCACCCTAATTTAAAACCAAAGCAGGAATCAGCGGGACAACTTTACAGCTTCACTGTGAATTTTGTTCCAGCTTTTACTTTTGGGCCCCACAGCTGAGCAAAACTAGGACAGCAATCTCTGTTTAACCAGGAAGAAAAAAGGTGGTTG